TCTCAACTTTTGTCTTCTTTCCATTCAGCAATTTGGCTTGGTCAGAGCCGAAATATTCCCTGTAAGTAAGATCATTTGGCCATTATAAAAATATTTTTCTCTCTCCTAAAAAGCACAAAGCAAAATGAAATGAGCTATCCCTTTGGTTCCTTAAAAAAAAAAAAAAGATTAGATCTTACAAAATGATGATTCAACATCTTTCATGCCAGCAACTCCCACCTTTTCTGGGAAAAATTTCAAATGAAATAATCTTGTTCATGATTTCCCAAGAATGCACACCTGCATTTTTCAGCTAGCCCTATTCCAAATGTTAATGGTGGCCTGTAAACAGTTTTTCTGTCTGGAAGAAATGACTAGCTAAAAATTGCAGCTACGGTTACTTGCGTGGGAAGAGAAGCTTCCAGTAAAAGACTGCACATGAATTTAACAACAAAAGGCATAAAAAATGGAAACTAGGCATTTTCAGGCTACAGAAAAGGCAGAGACATTTAGCAGTAAGCAGGATTAACCACTGGAACGGTTGCCTCTGGGCAAGGTAGACTCTTGACAATATAAAGTATTTAAATCAAGTCTGGATGCTTCTCTTAAAGGGCTTCTCCTATCTCAAATAATAGTTATGGGCTTAATAGTGAATGCAATCAGGAAAGTTCTCTAACTGTTCCCCTGCCTGAACTCAGACGCCTTCTGGAGACATGACTGGATTCCTTTCCTTCTTGTATATCTCCAGCAGAGAGACTATTGCTAAAACTTCCTGGGTACCAAGTCTTGTGTGAGGGAACAGAAGGTGAAGGCTGAAGTGAGGAGACACACTGCTGCTATATGGGGAGTCTCGGGGGATTTTGGCTGTGGGCTTAAATAACGGGTTTCCAGCTGCATGGTTGCACATGGTGCTCAGGTTCTTGCCCCCATCCACATCACATCATCCTCCAGCCTGGGACGTGGTTACGTGTCTTCAGTCTGGCAAGATGTGGAGAGAGTTTAGGAGGAACGGTGATCGGTGAGGAAGGAGCTAATGGAGGGGCAGGAGAGCATTGGAGGTTGAGCAGAGGTTTGACGGGGTTTAGAAGTGTACAACTTCCCTGCCTTCCTGCTGTGGTCATTTTGAACTGTAGTGGGAAATTGAAAAATAGGGCCTGCCTGACTGGCACAGTGGTAACAGAGCAGAAGGTTTCCAAGAGGGCTTCTGGACTCCTATAAATTTTTCAGTAGAGATGCAAGCTTACAGAGATGTGATATTGCTTCTCTGGGTCAAGGATCCCAAAGATTCCTAAATCTCTGCTCTTCCAATAAAAGCCCTTTATGACTTTGGTCTCTCTGTAAGTAATTGCTTTCTACAAAAGAAGGTGCTTAGTGTTGTAAGTGACATTGGTGCACAGGCGCAATGGTTACATAAGTAATGAATAAATATGGCTGGAAAACAAGAATTGCAGTC